TTTATTCATTTATGAAGGAATTTATTGGTATTTAGTAGATAAATTCCTTGTAGTTATATTAGAAAATAAATATATAAAAGTACCCTTTTTTCGTGCGAACTCACGCCGGTGCAATCTAGGTACACATCACTTGGTGAAGTAGCAGTTTCCGAAAAGCATCTACGTCAGCCATTAGGACAAGCTGTCACAATTGTGTCATGCTCGTTTGCGCTAATCTGGACGAAGCTCGAATCTCAGGTGTCATTTCAGCCTCATAAAATGTTATCAAACAAATCTTTCACCCTAAAGGTAATTTAGTAATCAAGTTGAACTGATGTTGTATTAACAATACATCCATCCTTACCATTGAAGTTTGTTATTAAAGTTTCTTAACAATATATTTATCTATAGTTTATTAACACTAAAAATATTGTTTTATGTATATGGCGTATGGGTGTGACATGAACGTTAGCGGCGTAGACATAAACGTGTTGTGATGGTGACGAATTAAGAATACGAAGTGTCAACACCCTAATTTATCAGGGGGGTGTCGTAAGAACCGACTAAGAGAGCAAACTACGCAGAACAACAGCACTGCAAAGGGGGGGAAAACTTGACATAAATCCTATACCAACCCGTCTGGCCAGCGCGGTATAGTTGGCTAAAACCTTCTTTCTAAGGAGAGGCCTATGTCCAGCAGTGATGATGATGATGTATACCTACATAAATATATGATAGTTTGTTACTTATGACATATTATGTACGATATTATACACTTTTGTCTAAATACAACTTTTTGAGCCTAGAGTCGTTAGATAGATTGTTTCACATAATCGTTAGATTTGTCTGAGTTGAAAGAGTAACAAAGTACATTACTTAGTTTTTTAGTTAGTATCCTTAAGGAAGTTTGAGACCTATTTCTTAGCATTCCATGGATTCACCGTGCGGGTCTGGTCCATTGCATGATAGATGGGGCTGATTGAAGTTTGCATTATGCTACGTTAGAACATTTCGTATATTGATATTGACAGAACAATCATCAATCGCTTGCGACAGTGATGAAACGGCATTGTGATGAAGCCAATGTTTGTTAACAGACACTACAATCTCTGTACTAATCAAGTAGTAAATGAAATAACGGTAGCCAATATGTATATTATCAAACATCAACTAAGTACATCAACTAATAACAAAGAATTAATATTTGTGTATTAATTTGTTTTGTCTTCTTCTTCTCTTTAAATATACCTGCGTCGGATACCATCTACTATTACTGAATTCTTCGGGCTAGCTCAGAACAGTGGGGATTATGCGATTGAAGTGAGGACTCGGCTCAGCCACGCTGGCAATTTGCCCGACTTGGGCGTCGCAGCGCCGGGTCCTTATTGCAATCATCGGAGGGGACCTCTCGCTACCGGCCATCATACGCTCCATGGCGGGTATTGACAGATGTTTCACCTCGGTCGCGTCCTTCTGCGAAGACGTCATCTCGCAGAAGGAGGTGGCGGAGAGGCGGCAAATGTGTTACCCGCGCCATTGCGTGCAGGCGCTAGGAGGGGTCCGGATGTCTTAAGATTGTCCGGGGGTCAGGCGCAGAGTGGCACACCGTGTGGTTTTAGTCGGTTCCGACACACCACCCTGCCGCAAACCCCGGTGGGGTGACGACCGGGTGGATTAACGTCAGATCCTAGAGGGATGTTGGTGAATCATTTGTATTAGGTTAGGTTAGACCAGAGAAAAAAAAAATTAAATTTTTTGATGTATTGAATTATTAAGTCCGACTTTTTGTTATTCGATCTATTCAATCTCGATATTTTGAGCATAGTGATTATAAACGTTAGTCGTATTGAAATTAAAAAAAAAAAAAATAGGATGAATGATGAAACGGAGTTATTATATTAGGAAGTTTGAATTGAACTTAAATTAATCGTCGCATTTACATAAATACACCAACACTCCTTACGATTTTTTAAGTACGGCAATCTAAAAGGCGCATATTAAACTGTATTGCTAAGATAAAAGTAATGAGGCGCATGTAACCATTTACGCCTAATGCACTAATTCAAAACTGCTCTTACACTAAGAAAAAACCGTCTGTATCTGCACTAGCGGCAAACTACTACTAACTAACTTATTTAGTCTTGACATAGGCGCATTTGTTATATAGGTACGGCTTAATACCCTATATATTGGTCAGAAAACTATAGAACTTTAAATCTATTTTATTGCTTAGTGTAATCATAAGAGGCTTTAAACGGAAAATTTATAGTAGGTAAATTGATGGATGGATGACTACAATTTATATTAAAAAAAAACCTTCTTTTTGATTATTTTGGTAATTTCGTTAAGGTGATCATGTACCTACATGATCACCTTCTTAACGAAATGACAGAACTGTCTAATAAAAAGTATACCTCATGTTCCGATATTCATAGTGTAGGCTACAATATGTCTATGTATCCATATAAATATATTTGTGTGTATAGAAATATACATAGAGAGATTGAGCGAACCGTATATATTTTCATTGATTACTTAATATATTATGACGTAACCTCTGTGCACGTACCTTACAAAATTTCTAAACCACCCAAAGGTTGACTGGAAGAGAATGACCTGGGTATTAAGTCCGCTGATGTACAAAAGTGCATACAGTTAAATAAATTAAAAAACAAACTATTTTCAGGTTAGTGAATCAGATAAAACAATTAAATGATAACTATATGTATTTTTTATTCCTAGGGTAGGATTATTTTCATAGTTTTGAATACTTGAGCATATAACCAAATGCAACTTTATTTCGTAAAATATAAAGTACAGATCTACACACAAATACTTAGACTAAAATTACTCCAAAATGCGTTTGAGATTTAAAAGGCGCATCTGACTATTTGCGTCTATTCAATTAAGAAAATAGTATTTATTAAAAAAAATATACTACAATGTAACGGTTTGTTCACCTGCCCTGTTAAAATTTTACCTCAATAACAAGAAAGGATTAAATATTAATTACTAGTTTTATTCTATGTTTTAAACAACTGCTCTAGTCTAAACTTTCCTTAGTTTTAGATCATCTATTTGGCACAGGTCAGATCTTATCACACCTTTTGACATTGTGGTCGTATTCGGCCTTACATGATGATGAAACTTAGGTTGAAAACAAAAAAAAACCTCAACAATTTTTCCTCGAGTGTGCCTACAATGTGCCTTGTGTTGGCGATTGTTTACTTACCGCGACTGAGAAAAAGTGAGATTCAAAGGAGGAGATTTGTTATGACTAACAAATATCTTCGAGCGTACTTAAGTCGAGCCGAAGTCAGAGTTTTTGAAGTCTTACAACGTGAGCGTAAATTTCGATAACAACCCTAGCGGCTCTTTTGTTTTGTTAAAAGGATTTTCAGACGTGAAGTAATTTTCAGCAGGTGCTTGTGTTTCGAACATAAAACAATTTTGTTTCGATGAAATGCACATAGTGTGTAGTATGGAAACAAAAAAGAATAATCTAAAGCACCGGCAAACACTCAGATAGAACGGATCCTATTAAATATTAAAGATAATAAATATTAACTTTAATATTTTATAGGACTAGAAATCGCCTGTTGGTCGATATTGGTCTATGATTCAAGTTTGCAATTTTTATTCTATTTGCATGACCAGTATACCTTGAACTGACATTGCATTAAAATTCCGTACATGAAAGATTAAAATACGAATACATAATGGAAGCTTTTCATAGGCATTTTCATGTAATGCAATGTTCACAAAATATGTTAATAAAAAATTGAAATCAGGAATTATCCTATTTCCTCATATATAATGAAAAAATCCGGTCAGGTACGAGTCGAACTCGTGCGCCGAGGGTTCCATACCTACCAAGATTTTACGTAGATTTTTTGCGAGAATTTGTAAGTAACAAAATTTATCTTAATTTTCAACTTTTTTTATTTTTTGGAATTATTCCTTTATTTGTGCTGTAAGACGATTCTTTTTGCCAAATTCCGTGATTCTAGGTCAACGGGAACTATCATATAGGTTTTCGACCCAAAACCTATAGGGTACTACCGGTTGACCTAGAATTGTCAATTTTGGTTAAAGGCAAGGTCTTTCAGCACAAGTAAAGAGAAAATTCTGAAGCATAAAAAAAGTTGAAAATTAAGGTAAATTTTGGTACTTACAAGTTTTCGCGAAAATCGAAATTTGCCCATATCTTTTTATCGTTTTGACTCAGGACCTTGATTTTTGTACACCTTATAGAGACCATAGACCTCAATATCATGTATAAATTTCAACTTGTTAGGTCTACCCGTTACTGAGAAAATCGGTGGTGACACACGAACAGACGGACAAGAATGTGATCTTATAAAGGATCTCAAATAAGATTTTAAAGGCGTTGAAAGGTAGAATGAATAAAAATTTCTTACGTTCATTTAATTTTCTTACTTACAGGGATTTAAATAAAAGAAAAATATATTTTTGTAAATTTATTTAATAATAAAAAGAAACTGATTATAATTTAACGACAATGCAATGGTGCAAACAATGAACACGTAAGTACATGAAACTTTTGTATCGCCCATATTGCAAATTATTAGGTACCTAAGATGATATATATAAAATGATATAAAACGTACCTCGACATTGATATAAATTCGTCATAATATGCATAAGACCATATTAAATAGAGAAATACTATATAAATGCAAGTGGTCATATAAGTCATAAAATATTTACATATGTAAACATTCAATTATTTCATTGGACCCTAAGTAAATCTACATATCATAACTATACTACATCAAATAACTATACATATTTTACACTATTATACTTAACTTTTTATAGTTCAGTTTTTGCATCACGGCTCATTAGACACAAATACTGACTATAAAATGCAATTTTAGTACTTAGATTAATAAACTTACAGCTAACTTTGGCTTACAATATTTACATAACTAATAGTGAGATTATAAGTTATGAATAGACTACCCTACCTATAAGATATCTATGAGATACATAATTTGCTACGTATCTCTTTGAACTAAGTCTGCTAAGTTGTAGAGAGCGATGGTACCTGTAACAGAAAGAAAGATTTAAGTTAGATAAATAAACCACCACCACAAACCCCGGCTCTGTACTAATTACTAAACTGAGTGTTTAAATAAAGAGGAGAATCAGTGACCGTATTTCCTACTGAAGGATTTTAGTGATGTTTGGGTCACAATCACACTGACAAAGCGAATTTCTAATTGTAATTAAGTACAGAATGGTACATGTTAGCCGATCTCAAAATTGGCACACGTTTGAGGCAGAAAGGAGATTGGTCGTATTGATTTGTTCGTTTTCAAGTGGTGTTACGTAATCTTCTATACTATTAAGGTAAATAATAATGCGAGAGTAATTAACATAAGATAATAGAAGTAACGAATGGAAAATAATAATCCAGGTGTGCCTCGTGCTTTAGTTTATATTTTTTTTTGTCTGAAATTATAGGTTATGCAACGTTTAGATTCACTATCTTCACAAATAAAACAACCATAAAATAATGATATTTCTAATTTCGTATTACGCAACGTTTTTTAAATCTCAACTGTACGTAGATCTAGATACTCTTTTTGTCAAGGTATGCCTTACAAAAAGAGTAGTATGCTATATATTTTTTGACATAGACGAGTATGATTACATATAGAAACGACTATGACATATGTTGAGTGAGTAAGTTGAAGGTTTATGAACACCTGCAACTCAGAAGTCACAAGTGAGTTGCCGGTCGTTGAGGTACGCTCTCTCCTTGAACGTTTAAAGGTCCTATCGATCCGTAAAAGGCTACAGGCAGCAATTTGATGTTGATTGTGCACGACATAATGTTTTGAGAAAAGCGCACACTGGTGGAGTGACTATTATTAAAGTAATCTCGATATAAATTTTGCCACTTTGAACGTTGGAAAGCTTCGACGGCCGGTACAAGTCTGAACACCTTGTCCGAGCACTCTTCATAATACAAGTAATAGAGAATATGAATATCCATGTCATGTATAAATTATATCCCACCAAAAACATTTTAATGTAAAATGTTGCCAAGACGAGACCATGTAGCTCGCACTGTCATAAAGTTATATCCGTGTGGTGACGGATTAAGAACACGGAATGTCACCACTGCTATTCATCCCGTGCGTGTCATAAGAGTCGACTAAGGGAGCAAACTACGCAGGGCAATAGGACTGCAAAGAGAAGGAGAACTTGACCTTAACCTTATACCAATCTGTATGTCCAGCGTGGTATAGTAGGCCAAAACCTCATTTCTAAGGAGACGTCTATGTCCAGCAGTTGACTATTATAGGCTGTTGATGTGATGATGATGATGTGTCAAAAAGTTAACAGATCTCATGTAGAACCTAGCTGTACCTCTACAAGCCCTAAGACACAAACCCTTCACAAAGCCCAGACCTTAATCAAAATATGTGGGTTTGCCGTTTCGTTACTACAAGAACTAATGTTTATTAGAAAAGTAATGAAAAGTGTATAAGTTATTTACCTTACACTCTTGTTACGGTAGCAAAATATTTTTTTCAGCTTACGCCCATTTTACAGTAGCGAAACAGCAAAATAAAAAATAAACCATTAGTAGAAGTTTCTTGACACCTAGTTGTTTTATTTTATACATTTGTTCTAACTTTAAAAAATAGTCTAGTGTATCTTATGTAAGTTAAAGAAAAACTTTACGTGAATTTGGTAATAACATACATACATAAATACCGTCAGTTAGACGGTTTTTATCGAAAACTAAGCATGCAACTCTATTTTGGAACACTTTACACACGGCCGCCTGATCTCAAGCGCCAGAGCCTACTTAGTGCTACGGCAACCTGAATCTCTTGTTCATCACAAAAAGATTTGTCCAAGTGGTCAGTAGTTAGATTCACTATATAGAACGGTCATTTTTGTAACTTTTTACAGTAACTTAAAATCCTGCACCCAAACTGGCAAACTGAAGACACCGTTCGTATGTTTGCAATGTGTCGCAATATATTTTATCATAACACGTTATTTTTTTTATAAATTCCCATGCCAATTTTAATTATTTTTTTAGGCAAAACAGCCTTTGTATTAACATCACACGAAGGTATAGGCGTACTTACACGCAACAAGCGAATTAAATGAATGAGGAAAATGGGCGAGGCAAACTAATAAACGTAGTTTGCATTACATGGATCTGTAATTTTTTATTATTATATGTGTATTTCATTTTATTATTACACTTGCTCATAATTGTTTCATTACTTGCATCTGTATCTACACCTTTCAAAGATAATTAAGGTCATACGTATATATGCAGAAAGCGTACACCAAGTACCTACATTTGATTACGAAATGACATTAGTCCTTTAAAGTTACAAGACAAAGTATGTGTCAATTACTGAACTATTATTTACTATTATGATTACTTATTAATTATTATTTGCTTAACGAATATATTTGTAATTAAACATTTTGAGCAGCACTATCCTATTTGTTGATTACTATCATCACCTCAGCCTACGCTTGTCCACTGCTAGACCTATGTTAGGCCTATGTTAGGCCTATGCCTCTCCCAATGACGGTTGATTGCGGCCTGCACCCAACGGTTGCCGGCAACCTTTACCAGGTCGTCCGTCCATCGGGTAAGCGGTCGTCCCACACTGCGCTTTCCAGTACGTGGTCTCCATTGGAGAACCTTGCTGCCCCATCGGCCGTTAGTTCTCCTTGCTATGTGCCCTGCCCATTGCCACTTCAGCGTTAGGCTATGTCGACCACCTTTGTTCTCCTGCGGATCTCCTCGTTGCGGATTCGATCACGCAGGGAAACGCCAAGCATAGCCCTTTCCATAGCACGCTGAGCGACTCTGAGCTTTCTGATTAGGCCCATAGTAAGAGACCACGTCTCAGTTCCGTAGGTCATCACTGGTAACACACACTGGTTGAAGCCATTCGTCTTAAGGCACTGAGGTATTTTGAACGTGAAGACGTTTCGTAATTTCCCGAACGCTACCCAGCCGAGTCGGATTCGATGATTGACCTCTTTCTCGAAGTTGGACTTACCTAATTGGACCGTTTGTCCTAGGTAGACATATTCGTCAACAACTTCGAGGACAGAGTTTCCCACGACTATGGGAGTCGGCGCGACGTGGACATTCGACATGATTTTCGTCTTGTCCATGTTCATTTTAAGGCCGATCTGTTGAGAAACTCCGTCGTGGTCAGCGAGCATTTGTCCCAGGTCTTCCAGCGATTCTGCCATGACTACGATGTCGTCGGCAAATCGCAGGTGAGTGATGTATTCGCCCTTGATGTTAATGCCAAGTTCTTTCCATTCCAGGAGCTTGAAGGCATCTTTCAGAGCAGCGGTAAACAGTTTCGGAGGAATAACGTCTTATCCCTCTCTGTAATGGAATTGCCTTCATGTATTGGTCCTGTACTCGAACTGACATATTGGCGTTATTATACAAACACTTCAATACCTCGATGTACCGATAGTCAATACGGCTCCGCTGGAGAGACCTAAAGACTGCCCAAGTTTCGATCGAATCGAAGGCTTTCTCATAGTCCACAAACGCCAAGCATAGTGGCCGATTATACTCCTCGGTCTTCTGTATAATCTGCCGCAGCGTATGTATGTGGTCTATCTATACCTCCGTGCGGCCTGTGTACGTGCCCGGAGGTCCCTCACCCGTAGTCGGCGACGTCACCGCGGGGTCGGTGAGGAGGTGGCCCGGCTTCATGAGGAGTACCGAGAAGCTCGGTAAACTCTGAGGCTGGCCATCTGCCGCGCCAAGGATGCGTGTAGAGAGGAGATGCTGGAGAGTCTCGAGCGTGACCCCTGGGGTCGCCCTTATCGTGCGGTGCGTCAAAAGCTCCGCACGTCGGGCCCCCCCTTACAGAGACTCTCCAGCCCAGCTTCCTGCAGGAAGTGGTCGAGGCTCTATTCCCGCAGCGCGCGCAGCACACACACACCCCCGTCGATGGAGACTGCATCAGCCGGAGACGACGGGGGCAGCAAGGTTGATGTTCCGCCCGTCAGGGAATCGGAGTTGGGGGCGGCTGTTCCACGGATTCGATCCAAGAACACCGCCCCCGGGCCGGACGGGGTTCCAGCCCGAGTGATGGCCCGAGCCCTCGACTACATGTCGGACCACCTCAGGGAAGTGTTGGACGCTAGCTTGGCGTCCGGACGCTTCCCTGAGCGCTGGAAATGCTCGAAGCTGGTCCTGCTGCAGAAGTCAGGACAGCCTGCCGAATCGGTCGCGGCCTATAGGCCTATCGTGTTGCTGGACGAGGCGGGTAAACTTTTTGAGAGGGTGCTCTCTGCCCGCATCGTCCGGCACCTTTGCGAGGTTGGCCCCGATCTGTCGGACGCCCAATTCGGTTTCCGAGAGGGGCGTTTGACGATCGATGCCGTAATGCGCCTTAGGGCCTTAGAGCTGCGGTGGAGTGGTGTTGTCGGTGTCCTTGGACATCGCCAACGCCTTCAATAGTCTGCCATTCAGCTGCATCAGGGAAGCGCTCCGCTACCACGGAGTGCCAGAGTACCTGAGGCGGCTGGTGGCAGACTATCTTGAGGAGCGAACCGTCATGTACGAGGACCGAGATGGCGTCTTGAGACGCAGGGCCATGTCGTGCGTGTCGTGTTCCGCAGGGGTCTGTCCTAGGACCTCTCCTGTGGAACATCGGGTACGACTGGGCCCTACGAGGGCGTCTCCCCCCCGGGCTGGGGGTAATCTGCTACGTGGATGACACCTTACTCACGGCCCGGGGGGCTAACTTCCAGGAGGCGGCGCGCCTGGCCGCCACGGAAGTTTCCCAGGTGGTCGGGCGCATTGAGGTGTTGGGATTACGGGTGGCCCTGGATAAGACGGAGGCCCTATTATTTCATGGGCCCCGTCGTGGTCCACCCGCCGGCGCCTCAATCGAGGTCGGCTCGGTCCTCGTACCGGTCCGGGCCCAGATGAGGTACCTGGGTCTGGTCCTAGACGGTAGGTGGCTCTTCGACGAGCACTTCCGACAGCTTGGTCCGAAGCTGGTGGACACTGCCTCCGCC